AAACATAAGAACATATTATGGCTAAGGCTACAGTTATACACGTCATTATAATAATATTAACACCCTGTCTGCTGACAGTCATCAACATTTCTCTCTAGTTATCCTTGACCAGATGTACCCTGTAGAAACTCATAAGCATGACTAAGCATTTAACAGTCTAACTAGACATCCTATCTCCACTAAACATTTCTAATACATAAAGTATCTATCCAATATCTATCTGACTAAAAATACCTAACAGGGTCTACAGTGTCCAGGACCATGTGGTTAACGTGTGTGAGGACCACTTTCTCTAAGTAGAGGTGTGTTTGAGCTTTCTTGGCCAGTGTTGTGGTGTTGTTGGTCCAGGAGAGGTCCTCAGAGATGTACACCCCCAGGAACTTGGTACTGCTCACTATCTCCACTACAGCACCATAGATGGTCAGTGGTGGATGCTTTAGAGGTTTTCTCCTGAAGTCCACAATGATCTCTTTAGTCTTCCCCACATTGAGGAAGAAGCTGTTGCTTCTTACACCACTGTTCCAGTTGGCACACCTCACTCCTATAATTGGCCTCATCATTGTTGGTAATGAGGCCAACCACAGTTGTGTCATCCGCAAACTTGACCATGTGGTTGATGCTGTAGGTTGGCACACAGTCGTGGGTCAGCAGTGTGAAGAGCAATGGGCTGAGCATGCACCCCTGTGGAGCCCCTGTGCTCAGCTTGATGGTCTTGTAGATGTTGATGCCGACCCGCACATTTTGTGGCCTAGCTGTTAGAAAGTCCAACACCCAGTTGCAGAGAGAGGTTTTGAGTCCCAAGTGTCCAGGTTTTTGTGTAAACTGCTGGGGAATTACTGTGTTTAATGCTTAACTGAAGTCTAGGAACAGCATTCGCCCCATGATGTTATGCTAAACAAAAACAGAAAGTTTGTAAATCTTTCTGCAAGTTTTCAGCCCTCATTTAAGAAAAAAATAGTTCCAATTGTTAGGCAACACACTTTTGGCATCCTTCCAGCATTTGGATATGTCTAACAGTTTGCTGTGGCATATCAACATTTATCTGGGCATATTCAAGTTCATCCAACTCCCAACTATCATCCTGTTGAATGTCCAGGAACAATGTTTGAAGTTTAAATGGTCAGACTCTTCTTCTTTGCTTGTGGGTTCTTTGTAGCAGAGGATGTGTAAGAAAATGGATAAATCAATTATAAACATTGATACTAGTCAGATGTCAGCATATGACTGTGAAAGCCCCTGCAGTTTTTTTCCATTAAAGGAACTTTCTTTCCAATACACTAAACATTCTTTAAAAACTTTAGTATGGCTGCCTGATCTAACTAACCACCTTCAGTCACATGTTTGACATGAAGCACACTTGAACAGGGGTGAAGAATTAGCCCTATAGGTCAAATAAAATTCAGTTTTCTAACCATATTCATGGCACAGTTCAACTTGGACGATTTGCTACACAGTGGCCCTGCTTCAGAATTCAGTGATAATCCCAGAAATCCATGCTTTTTCTCTTTGTGTTTAAAATTTCTACAGCAGCCTTTCGTCATCAGTCTGAGAGCATGGGCCCAGTCCACCCTAAAACTGCCTAGTGATCTAACAAACCAGGTGAAAGAGATGTCCACTTTTGTGCCACTGGCACAAATTGCAGCCAGGCAATGGGTCGGGTCTCTTCATTCAAGGTCGGGGACCGACCCCGAGCTGCATATGTGTGTTTGGCTGTTGAGTTACACTGATAACAGCTGGGAAATTGGCACTGTTCTAAAACTAAAACTTTTGACTGGTAATGTAGTTGACATAGTGGTACATCATTTCTGAATCTTAAATAGAAATTTTGGTGAAGTAATCGGTGTCATTTTGTGAATGTGCCTTTATTGAGCACACTGTCCTTTTTTGATCCCACTGGCAAACACATTTGTTATCACTGTAAAATAACCCCACTTTTCCACAGAGATCCTGACAAATGACTCTTATTAGATCAGGGAGAGCGTTTTCTACTCGGGTTGAGGAATTTTATAAAATTTTAATGGGGCCTTAAAATTGTACAGTCTTGTTGAATTTAAGGCTTTAAAAGAAAGAACATGGTGAAATGGTTAGCTAAGAATGTATGAATTTTGGAGGACCTTAGCAACAGCTGATCGGGGCAGTCTTCCCTGGCTTAGGGATGCTCATCTGAATTTCCTCCACCTGTCTGTCAAGGTAAATGCTGACTTTAAGCCTTTAAAGATTTACCATGCAAGTGCTGTGCATGTGACCTAGAGACAAATCCATAGCAGTCAGTGTGGTTGGAGAGTAAACTGTTTACACAAATGATGTTGTTTGTGCATCATGTAGATCTAGCCTGTTATATAATATTACTATCATTGGATAACTTCACTACTCCCCACAGGAGAATTAATATGGGATTAATATACAACCAAGTTAATTTACATGTATTACAAGCAATAAAGTAGAAGTAAGTAGAAAATAAAGTTATGAAAAATGTATGCAAGTAAAAAAATACTGTGTACATTACTGCAGTCAGGTGGTTGGATAATCTGAAGAAACTGTTCATTAGATGAATTGTTCACTTGATACTAATAAGTTTAAATACTAACAACATAAATGTACATACGTATGTAAACGTGTTTTTCGGGGGTGGCTGTGGCTCAGGAGGTAGAGCGGGTCGTTTCCTAACCGGCGGATTAGCGGTTCGATTCCTGGCTTGTCCAGTCAACATGTCGAAGTGTCCTTGAGCAAGATACTGTACCCCCAGTTGCTCCCGGTGATGTCACCGGTGTGTGAGTGTTTGGGAGTGCGAATGGGTGAATGGCCGAATAGTGTGAAAGCGCTTTGAGTGTGGTGTAAAGCATAGAAAGGTGCTATATAAATATAAGACCATTTACCATTTTACCATTTTCAGAGGAGGATGACTTTTTCCTGACAAAGAGTTGTTGTTCAGTGCAGTGGCAGTTGGCAGGAAAGACTTCCTTGTAGCTTTCTATTAGTTTTGCAGTAACCTCCTACTTCTACTAAGCCTTGCACAGCAGTTCAGTGCATGCACTTTGAAGAAAATCCTTCTTCGTGTTAACTACATTTGTTTGTTGGCCATCATGTTTTCTATCATGACTAGAGCCATATTTATGATCTATGAAAGTGTAGTGTATGACATGTCCATCAGGACTTAAGGATATTAGTCCTTTACACTCCACTCAATTTAGGCAAGGTTACTGACTTGCAAGCTTTCAGGAGTTAAAAACGGAGCTCAGAATGAAGGCATGTCCTTGAAACCTTTGTCATAATAGGCATACATAATCTACTTTTGCTCAGTTTGTTTTACTGACACAGTAATGTTGTCACTGGCCCCTAAAATCCTGATACACCTTAGTAATTGTTGTTTCATGTGGCTCTGATGTGTCCATGCTGTATGGCTAGCTTAACTGCACGCACATGCACGATAGACAGAGACTTACAGATGATAATAAAATAATTTTAGCCCAGTTTGAAATTTTCTCATCAAATCTCTGATGTAACTAGTGCTTTCTGGCATAATGTTAATTTATTTTTGATTGCAACACAATTGTACAGAACATGTTGGAAAAGACGAATACAGATTGTGTTGAAGAGATGCGCTCTCACATAGAATTTGAGTTATGTGCTTAGGCACATTACTGACCATACTGTGCTCTGACCCACATGAAGAGGCAGGCCAGGGTACAGTATGGAGCAATCGCAGTAGTCAAACTGGACTTTGGAGGTCAAACATGCTCGGGCATGGTACGGATTGCCTAGTGAGAGTGCATCCTTAATTAACATATGCATCAAAATATTTCTCACAAGGATTCTGCGTGTGACATACTGCATGGCATTTCTAATGAATGATGTCTCTTCATATGCTGCTTAGTGCACTGGCCAGTTCTTTTGCTGCACATGATGTTTGTATTTATTCATTCATTCATTCATTTATTTATTTATTTATTTTAAATAGGTTGGAACTCTGAGGTTCTGTGGCAGCACTGAGTTTGCTGGAGGCCTCTGGGCTGGGGTGGAGCTGGACAAACCAGAGGGGAAGAACGATGGCTCTGTAGCAGGGGTTCAGTATTTCACCTGTCGAGTCAAACATGGTAGGTCATGCCACAACCTATGACTTAAAGATTAAACACACTGATTTGCCCTCTTGCTCCAACAATTACTTTTGCAATTATTAACTTTTTAGGGCCTAATTTTCCAGTTGTCAGTAAATGTAATGTATTTAAATTAGAATATGTAATGTATATTTTGTTGTTGTTTTGCCTGCTTGTCTTGTCCTATAACACTGTACTGTAGCGCTTTTTATGCATTGATGCACACTTTACACTATTTCCCATTCACACACTTGTGACATCACTGGTTCAGTGTCTTGCTCAAGGACACGTGGACTGGAGAAGTCGGGCATAGAACCGTTGACCCTATGATTAGGGGATGACCCTGCTCCTGAGCCGCAGTATATGTTGAGTCACACATAATTGACTGACTTGTTTAATTCTTTTCTCATGCTTTTTTCACAGGAATTTTTTCTCCCCTTCCCAAAATACTCAAACCCTTGGAAAGACACAAAACTAGCACCACTAAGTCATCTACATCCATACACCCCCCCCATCGTATTGACCTGTCCCGCATCACTTCCAAGATAAACACAGGTATAGAACAAGTGGAAAATGGGTCCTAACACTTCTGAACAGTAATGCTTTGTCAGAATCTGCCTTTGATGTTTGGTATTCAGTCAAGATGTAAAAAAGTTACATCTGCTATATCATGCAAGAATTGTAAGAGCTATTTAGTGAGAGAATTATGCCTGGTTGAGGACTCCTCCGTTCAGCTTTATTCTCATGATTCAAGTTGTTCTCACATCCTATCAGGTTCATTAAACATTATCAGTCATGAAGCTCATAAGTATTTGGAAGAATAGTTTTGGTGCAGAGTATTATAAGTTTGAGGGTGAATTCTTCAGGACTTTCATATTAATCTTTTTCAAATGCTTAAAGTGGATTGTGCACCAGTGCCAAAGGACAACGGATAATTAGGCAGCTGACAAGACCCTGCTTTCACAGTCCTTGCATATCCATTTTCTCAATTAGTGATGTTGCCTTCTCAGAACACTGTATAAGCCTTGCCTTTGTAGGTTTTGGTGATCCTTGTGCCTCTAGGGTTCTACATGTGGTGATTAAAATAAAAGGTTCTGATTGATCTGGAAGAGTGGACCTCAGATTGGCCTGTGATTGATAGTTCACTTAAGCAACATTTAAGGCATAAACGGGCTGAATAGCCTGGAACCCATTCATCACAGTGTGGGTGTGTATGTGTGGCAAACATTGCATGTGAGACTATATTGGCACATCCAAATAACCCAGGAAAAAGACTAATGTATGGCCATACTTTTTAGGGTCTATATCAGCCATTTATAGTCTGAACTCCGTTTAGCATCCCCTTAGATCAGCAGTGTAGACAGACAGTTCATTCATGTGTATCAGTAGATTGGCTAGATGATTGTGCAGCTGTCCTCCTCTCGCTAATCAGGAGAAATGGACACAACAGAATACCAGCCTAGCCCCTATGTAGCTCAGTCCTCAAAGGGCAGTGAGAACATAGACAATGATCATGAAGCACCACTCTTTGATACATAAAGCGTCAGTCTGTGCTGCTGTCTGTCAGGGAATCGGTATATGGAAGGGATAGATAGAGACAGGAGGTCCCTGCAAGCTAAAGGTCAAGTGATGAGGAATGTTTGGTATTCTGAGTTGGAATGTAGTCTTTTTTTGGTTCAAAGGAAAGACACCACTCTGTCTCTGAGGAGAATGTTTCCAAGCTCCCACTAAATGTGAACTGAAATGGCAATCAGTAAATAGCAGGCTGACTGGAGATTTCACCTATTTTCAGTTACCAACATTAATGATTTATACAATCAGTAAGTGGTCCAACCAGGACAATATAACTTAGGTGATATATTGATGAATTTAGAGTAATTTTTAACTTTAGATGGCTCTTATATGGCATATTTTTGTATTAATTGAATCATCATTAGGGGTGTTTAGGCAATTTTTTCCCCTAAAAATCTGTTAAGATGCATGGATTTAAAATGTTTTTTTTTATTGTCTATTAAGGAACAGATGCTTAAGGTTTTGTTAGCTAAGGTTAGGTTTTGTTGCTATAAAGAACATAATTGTGTCTTCTGCAAGAAGCTTAATTTCTTACTGTGTGCTGTTTGAGTCACTGTCAAGATTTCTTTACACTGTTTTTAATTTTGTTCTCTTGGATTCACTGTCACTTTTTGTGGTGTTACTACTTTTTTCTGCATGTTTGTGTGTTGGAGTAAATCAAATTGTCTTTGTTCAGTTGAAAAAAAATCCTTTATTATTGTTGATTCTGCTACTTTACAATGTCATGCAGTCCTTTTATTTGCATGTCTTCACTCTCCTACTTTTATTTCATCCATTCAGTGGAGCTTTTTTTTGTCTGCCTGTAACTCTGCCACTCTTGGAGTGCTACACTGTTTCTTTCTTCTTAGTTTCCTTAGAACTTTTTAAAATGTGTTTTCACAAATAAGCTTTCTTGCTTTAGCTGGTTACTGTACCAGTACACTGAGATTTCACGTACAGTGGGTACCGAAAGTATTCAGACCCCCTTAAATTTTTCACTCTTTGTTATATTGCAGCC